TATATTATTATAGTGTTATATTTCAATTTCACAAAGAAATGTGCAGCATTTTGTCCAAGCAATAATAAAAGGACACATTTAATTTATAATTTGTCTTAATTGTCCATTTTGTACAAAAAAATTGTGAATCAAATCGAATCGTGAAATCAAAATCGTGAATCGAATCGTGAGTTGAGTGAATCGTTACATCCCTAATAACTATCAACCAAATGTTTAGGTTAAAGGCATGCTATATTTGTGCATACTATATCTTTACTGCTCCACAAAAACACTGACCAAGCATGTGTGAAATTCTTTTTTCCAAAATATTATGTTATGTGAAAACTGGTGGTTTATCAGCTGAGGCAGAAGAGTGTTATGCAAAGATAAAGGACTGACCCCATCTCCAGGAAGATCTGCCTGAACTGCGTCCGGACCTTCATGAGCGGGTGCAGGTGACCGCAGTCTGGAGCGACACCCATCGCCTCGAAATTATACGGCTTGAACTTCTTCTCCTTCCAGCTGCCACTAAGAGAAAAAAACAAAAAACAAAACAGACTCATGAAGCGATACGTTAAACTTCACTGAAACAGAAGTCATTTAAATTACAAATACACAAAGCACTGAAACTGTGCTGCACAAGTCAGAAGTAGGAAAGTCGTCTGTTTCAGAATTGCATGAATGTTGTGTAATACGTTAAGGTCCTCTTTTTTTTGTCTTTGTGAAACTGATTGGTCTCACCTGGCAATCATCTCTGGAGTGAGTTCTGTCTCTTGTTTGGTGATGGTGGTACTGAAGCTGCTGCCTTTAGTGATCCAGTATGACTTAACCGTCCTGAAATCAATCAATCATCCATATATTCATATTTATAATAAAATATACAAATAAGGAATACATTATATAGTTTTCCCACTGGCATGAGATTGTTATTGAGCTGTAGTGCCCTCTATTATATTAACTTGAATAACACCAAAATATCATTTTCAGACTAAACAAACACACTGAATAAATCAAAATGAACAACTTCAGCGAGTTAAAGCCAAAAGCACTGCACTCTCTCTTACACTTCAGATAGCAGTTTGCGTTTCTTGAGTTCAGTCTTTTCTTTGTCTTCCAGTTTTGCCGACTGTCCCTTCTGCACCAGCTGTAGTTTGTCCCTTACTGTATCCTCAATAGTTTCCACCTGAAACACACAAACACACTACATTAATAATACATTCATTGGGAGACTGGCGCTTAATTCATTATCTGTGCAGCATGTAACTCACGGTTTTGAAGACTCGTGGTCCTCCCTCGTGAGCTTTATCCAGACGGATCCATTTGTTAGACATGGCTTTGCTGAAACCAACTTTCCCGCTCGGCATTTTCTAAAAGAATCAAAAGGTACATGAGATAGCAGATGCAAAACATGCATACCAATGTATACGCATCTGTCTACAATTCATAGGATTAACAGGTAATCCTCGCTATCTTAGAAATATTATATTTCACCCAAAAATTAAAAAAAAACATGATTACATTTTACATATAGAAAATGAGAACCTGAAGTTTGGATCTCATTGTATACAAAATTTTCTACTGTTATGCAAATAAATGAATAAAAAAGAATTGAATTTTACTGTACTAGAGTCTGTCAAAGGATTTTATTTTCATTTCTGTGTAACATACTTCCATGATGTATACATCCAATTGTACTTTACAAGTATACTTTGTAAAGTATATTAAATCTAAATAACATTTTTGAGAAAGTTCAAATAAACTTGGTAGAAAACACTTTCTGTTTTCACGAGATTCATCCTAATGGCTCTCATTGGTCAAGATAGATGTCTTCTCCAGTACCAGACTATAGACGACTCTTTCATCTCTCACCATGAGTCCATTCTGCGGCAGACCCTCGTCCGGGATGGCGTTGAACACTCGGGCTTCATGACTGCCCTGCTCTGCGATCTCACGGCCCTCTCCTGTCAGCTCCCAGTGTTTGGAGGACTTCTGCTCTGTCGAGATCACCTGAGAACAGGATTCAAACTGGTTAAGATAGAGAAACAATACCATATTTATATTAAAACAATATATATACTGATACTCATAACCTCAGAGAAACTAACAGTTGTCAAGAAAAACAGGAATGTTCTTCAATGTACAATAATATGCTACAAAACGCAGGCTCTTTAATTAACCCCTTATCTGTCACCGTCCCACCTGTGGGACGCTTGGCGCTCTTTTTGGTTGTTGTCCTTTTTCTCTATCAAATCTTTTAGTAATCATCATAAATTATATATCATTTGAAGATTCATCCTGTGAAAACAATTTTGAAATCGGACATTGCGTTACCATGGAAATGGTACTTGAAAATCTTTTGGCGGTCTCCTCCCCCTTAGTGGGCGGTGTCAAGTGTCATATTACAACATGCATTACAGTCTTTTAGAATCAAACCTTTTTATAATCTTGACAAAAAACAGAAGAACATAGGTTGTTTTGAGATAGAAGTAATATTGACAGAGAAATCTAGACATTTGTGACAGAAAAATGCATTTAAAAAA